ACCATTGTAAATTCTTCAACTTTTCAGCGCATGCGTACAATAAAAAGGAACAAGTGAAGCAATATTTTTGTGATGGGTTATACAAAGACTTTTTTTACTTTTATTTTTCTCCATTAAATTAGATTTTTTAGGTTCAAGAAACCTGTAATTTTCTGAAACCCAATATCTTCAAGAACTGAACAAAATTTTCATGTGTCCAAAAATTCTACTGTTGTCAATTTTCTCGTTTGTCCGTCACAGTGTCACTTTAAGAAATGGTGAAAATTTGGTGTCATCTTTTGAATATCTTCTTTTCAAGAAAAATTGGGCCAGAAAAGTTGAAACTTACGTGAAACCTCCATTACATAGTGTTAATTTAAATGTTTTCAAATCATGACCCCCCAAAATTTTACATATAGGTAAATATAGGAAAATATATTTAAAAATCTTCTCAAGAACAAAGCCATAATTAGTCATAAAATGAAATGGAGGCATATCCTCAGGTAGTGTAGATTCATGTTTGTTCAAATCATGACCCCCGGAAGTGGGGTGGGGCCATAATGGGGGATCAAAGTTTTACATAGGAATATACAGGAAAATCTTTAAAAATCTTCTTCTCAAGAACAACAAAGCTACGATAAGACAAACTGATATGAAAGCATCCTAAGGAATTGTAGAATCAAAGTTGATCATATCAAGACCTAGGGGGTAGAATTGGGCACAATTGGGGGCCAATTTTTTACATAGGAATATATAGGAAAATTCCTCTCAAGAACAACAAGGCCATGATAAGTCATATTGATAAGGAAGCTTCCACAAGTATTGTTACGAGATTCAAGTTTGTTCAAATCATGACCATTGGATTGAGATCAGCATGTTTTGTATTCTCCGCTACGTTATGTTGACCCAGTCAGACAACCAAAATGTGCCTCTAATTTGAAGAGTTCCAGTAATGGAATTGAATGTATTATTTGGCTGTGTTAGTAGAATGCAGGTCACATTAGCCCGATCTGACTACATTAAAACTCGTTTATAACAAACACAGATATAGCAAATTTATGGATATTGCGAAGTTTTTTGGAATCCCTGGCAAAATTCTTAACAATTTCATGTAAATTTTTACAGATATAATGTCAGAGCGCTGATATAGCAAACTGGTTTGTATCCCCTAGAGGTTAAAGGTAACAAAATTTTTATCTCAGGGTTCGAAATTCACTATATACAACTCGCAAAATGCGAGTTAGAATTCCCCAATTGCGAGTTAAAAATTAGGTAACTCGCAAAAACTTGCGAGTTGATTTTTTTTGCATTGAAACTGTAGCAAAATTATATAATATGACAGAACACAATGCCTTTGATTTAAATAAGTAATTTAAATAAAAGTCACACTGTAGTTGTATTTTGTGTATTGTACTGTAGTTACTTTTTCCTTAAGTTACATGTATTTAATTTATATAAATTTAACTTTATATGAAAATTGCGAGTAGTCTTGGTACTCACGATTATTTGCGAGTTGTAATTTTAGGGAGTTTCTAACCCTGTATCTTTTATAGTGAATTTTCAAAGACCTCAATTTTTAAGTCACCTGAGCTGAAAGCTCAAGTGAGCTTTTCTGATCACCCGTTGTCCGTTGTCCATCTGTCCGTCTGTCTGTCTGTAAACTTTTCACATTTTCAACTTCTTCTCAAGAACCACTGGGCCAATTTTAACCAAACTTGGTACAAAGTATCCTTGGGTGAAGGGGAGTTTAAATTGTTTAAATAAAGCACCCAGGAGTAGGGCGGGGCCACAATAGGTATTACAAGGGGGAAATCTTGTAAAGAACAGCATGGCCAAAGTTATTCAGGTGAGCGATGCAGCCCGTGGGCCTCTTGTTAAAATATTGAACTGACACTACTTATGTGAGTATTTGAAATTTGAAATTCAATTCATTCAGTAATATATGAACTCCAAGGTAACTTCTGTATTAAATACTTCCCAAAATACAGTTGGTAGTCATACTTGAGGAAAAAAAATCTATATTTCGAATTCGCAATATATACTGAAGCAAATTCAATATACGAATATAATGAAATATGGATATAGGGAAGTAATTTTGCAGATCCCCAAGACTTTGCTGTAACAGAGTTTTACTGTAGTAGAATTTTCAGCTGTAATAATCCATTTCCATCTATGTATTTTAAATAATTGTCAAAAAATGTCTAAAAAGAATAATTTCCTAGATTTAAAACTTTCGGTTTTCTCAATGAATGATTTTCATATCTTTCTGTCCAAACTTAGTTTGGCTATTTATAATTTGTTGTTTCTGGTTGCCATGTGTAAACGGCTAATGGAAGAAAAAGTAAAGATGGAGATTGTCTTTGACATTAAAAAATGCTTTGAATCAAAATGCACCTGAGTTTCTAATGAATAGGGTTGTGTTAATATATAGAACTACTTTATATCAATATGTATCATTATTCAAGAATGTATCATTTTAACATGTTAGTTTTACAGTCATTAGAAGTTTGAATTTGAAGTGTATTTTGTGAAGACAGTGAGACAAGAACTTTGCATTGTGTTACAAAACAGAGAGGTAGGACGTTATACCGATACTACCATACATACCAATATTTCCTGCTAAGAAATGGTTTACAGTACACACTCTGAAATATAGGTATAAAACGATACACAAACAACTGAAAGTAAAAAATGGCGACTTGTAAACGAAGTGGAAAATGGGTAGTAAATTTTGTCATTGCTAGCCAGACAAGACAAGTGCTGAAAAATCTTTTGGGTGGACACTGTAAAGGAGTTATGGGTTTGGAAACTAGGGATGTCAGGCTTTAGTTGAATGATAGTCTAGTAATTCTTGAAATTTGATTCAATTTTTATACCCCCCGCAAACGAAGTTTAGGGGGGGTATATTGGAATCAGCATGTCTGTCTGTCTGTCCGTCTGTCTGTCCGTCTGTCCGTCTGTCTGTAGACGAGATTTTGTCCTGACCATTTCTTGGAAACTGTTGGAAGGATTTGTCTGAAAATTTGTACACTTATTATTCGTCATATGAAGGTGTGCACCTGGTATCTTCATTATGATTGGGTAATTTTTCTGCATTTTACAGGTGTTTTTTCATTTTTATTATGTGGTTTTGTCTGGATCTGTTCCCAGAAACTATTGCATAGATTTGTATGAAAATTTGTACACTTATTATTTACCATATGAAGATGTGCACCTGGTATTTTCAACATTATTTGATAATTTTTCTGCATTTTACAGGTGTTTTTTTTAAAATTTTTATTGACTTAGTCATTTCGGGTTCATGTCTAAGGTTTGAGACATAGAATCTAGAACATCTGTACAAAAATGTGAACTACAGCTTAAAACTACTCATTAGAACTAAAAAAAACCCCACAAAGTATTAAAAACAGTTTTTACATTACACAGCAGATAGTGTAAATCCATTTGTCCCTTGGGAGTAATGAGTGGACATGCATCCAGTTAAAGATTAATTAATGAGTTCAGTGTGGGAAGCTGTTAGGGCATCTCTGATCAGGCAGGTCTTATCTATATCTCCGGGGAATTGGGCAGAAAGAAATAAAGATCTCTGTTGTCTAAGTCTCTTAATTGTTATTTATGTCTGTCAAAATACATAGTTACTAAAACCAGCCTTTTATTTTTAAAATGAGTTTGATATAAAGGTATTAAAATCAATTTGATTTTGTATAATTAATTATGATATTTTTTTTTTTCAACAATCAATTTGCAGAGTGTCATGTCTCACAAAGATGACAGATAGTTGCAAACTATTTTTTCAATGTAATAAAAAACACTGTAATTATTAGTGTTGATATTTTATTAGGCTGCACCTTAGTTTCATTCATTAAAATAAAGTGCCCCACCACAGCATTATACGCCCATCAAATATTGTTAAATTATCATAATCAGTTTAGATTCAATTGGTCGAATGACATCTTAGTGAGACAAGGCAGTCTGCAATTTGTTGTAAAGATATAAAAATTCAAATAAAAAATGTACAATAAATAATTAGTTTAAATTATATTATACAATATCATATAAGTTTTAATTATTATAAACAATATCAAATTAGTTTTAATTACATCAAATTTATCTTGAAAGTAAGACTAGCCAACAAGAACAATTCAATACAACACAAGCAATTAATTAAGAGACTGATTCCTTTTGCCCATTTCCCAAGAGATGTAGATAACACCTGCTTGATCAGAGATGCTCTACCAGTTATCACCTCACACTAAACTCATTAATTTATCTCTAATTTGACATGCAATTTTCTGCTATCAAAATTTTCCTTGACCAGTGCCTGATCATTACACCCATGGGAGAGGTGGAATTTTTCTTGTTACAGATTGCTGTAAAGAACATAATGAAAAAAATAAGACTAAATAATAAGCCGGACATGAAAAAGCTAACAGACGGACGGAGGGACATGAACGCTATAACATAATACGTCCCGTCTTAAGACGGACATATAAAAAATATAATGAGTAATTAAATTTTCACTGGAAATGTTTAAGGAAATTGTGAACACCTCTCACATCTAGAAAACATTAGTGATTTGGTACTTTCTCTGAAAAACCCAGCGGGGGGTATTTGTCCCTATTGGACAGTTCTAGTTTCATGTATTTTTCTCTCTTTGCTTGTTATAGTCTGCTTGTACATTTTATCCAGATGCTATCACCATTATAGTCAGGGATTTTTTTAGGGTCTCCATTCCCAATGCTGAAAAGTGCAAGTTTTTCCCAAAATCATACCTAAAAATTCCCAATATGAAAATAAGTATTAAGTTGTAAATCATTAAAATAAAATAATGACAAAAAGGTGTTTATGTTCTCTATGTGCGATGTACGAGCCATCCGAGGACTTCTGAGAAGTTATTCGGAATACTATGGATGTTTGCATGCATACTTTTTAAAGCGGGATCGATGTTTAAAAATTAAAGTCGGGAATGTTATCTAAAAAATAAATGTGCATCATGTCGGTCTCTCCAGTTTGCCTAGGACGGTAATTTTCAGGCTGGGTTGAATCGCTCTTATTCTTATAAATTTGTCAAACAATACCGATTAACCACTCATCTGGAACAAACCCACTACCAAATGTTATTTTAAAAAACTTCTTACATAAAGGTAAAAAAGATGACAACGTATAAATATGTTCATTTACAATGTTATCATACCCTGCGGCTTTGCCATTTTTAAGCTTCTGAACTTCAACAGCCGCTATTATTTCATACCACTAAAGCTGGTTTAAGCCAGCTTCATACTATAAAAAATAAGAAAAATGATTAAATATTTGACTTTTGCTTGTTTTTTCCTATTTATTTGTATGAAGATATTTTTCCCAATTTCAACCAAATATCGCTATTTTTCCCAATCTTGACGGCCCCTGGAATCAAGGGGTAAAAAAATCCCTGATAGTTCTGGTGAGTGATGTGGCCAATGGGCCTCTGGTTTTAAACCAAGGTCTTTTAAGGCCTAAATTATTATTTTGGACTTATATACTAGGAATATAATAACTTAAGTGGTAATGTCCCACTGAATTGAAGGGAACTTCTTTTAAAGTTGTGCATGATGTAACTTCCTGGATGATGTGTAGTCTGTCAACACATGAAACTCGTGCAAATTTTAGGATAGGTATATTAGGGCGTTTTTTTTAAAATCTCAAATTTTTGTCCAAGCATTACTGTAGACCAACTTTTATTTGTGTGCGAGAAATATTCGTTTCACGACTTACTTTAACTCATGAATATTAATCGCTGTGAAACATTTATTGTGTCTTGTATTATGGAGAATGTTTCCTCGGTCACGAAAATGAATCATTGCGGATTGATTTAAAAAAAAGATGACGCGAATAATTGTTGGTTTACAGTAATCTTTATTTTCTCTTTTGTTCTGAAATACTTGTTTTTTTTATTTTTTAATTTAAATTAATTAAAGCTATACATTTACATATAGTAAAACTATTTTCTTGTTTGAGACCAGCTAGTAGAAAGAGTAATGGGTAACTTTTATTTTGACAACAATTCCTCTGATTTATAGAAATAGTCTCCCCTGTTAAAGATCAACCATGGCGTATATACATTGCCGGATGTCATCTGGTCATCAACAGAGAGTTTTGATGCTATATTTCTACCAGTTACCTCTGTGACCTTTGTTATGTTTAGCAGACAGGTAAGAAAAACAAGAAATTTTTTTTTAGAATAATTACAATAAAGTAAATAGTAAAACATAGAACATATTTACATGTACAGACTCCCTCGTAAAATGTCACATTTATACGAAATGATTCTAGAACATTTACATACATCCACATTGTCACACCGTTCACGGTAGCTCAGTCGGTAGAGCGCTCGCTCCGTGATCGGAAGGTCGTGAGTTCGAATCTCAGCCGCGACTGACCTAAGTCGATAAAAAATGGGTAGCAACTGTTCCTTCGCCATGCGCTCGGCACTTTGAAGTGAAAGTTGCGGGTCCTTCGGATGAGACCTTAAAAACCGAGGCCCCGTGTCACGACAGATGTTGGCACGATAAAGATCCCTCACTGCTCAATGGCCCTGAGTGCCGAGTAAAGGTCAAAATTTGAAGCCCTTCACCGGTATATGGTGACGTCTCTATATAAGTGAAAAATTCTCGAATGGGACGTAAAACAACATACAATCAATCAATCAATCCACATTGTCACAGTTGAATAGAATCAGAGCATAATAAAACAATTATTACATGATACACATATCACAGAATGAATTTCTTCTTAATTTTGGATCAGCTAGTGATTCACTGTGTCACTAGATTTTTTAGCTCACCTCGACGAAGTCGAGATGAGCTTATGCTATACCCCCGGCGTTGGTGTCGTCGTCGGCATTAGCGTCGGCGTCCTGGTTAAAGTTTTAGGAGCAAGTCCCATTCCCAAGTAACTATAAGACCTATCTGGACCAAACTTGCATGGATGATGCATCTAGGGATGGACACTACCACACTTGCTTCGGATGCTGGATCTGACCTAGATTTTCCAGATGAGTGACCAAGTTAAAGTTTTCGGAGCAGGTCCATTCTGAAGTAACTATAAGCCCTACCTGGACCAAACTTGCATGGATGATGCATCTACGGATGGACACTACCACACTTGCTTGGGATGCTGAATCTGACCTAGATTTTCCAGATGAGTGACCAGGTTAAAGTTTTTGGAGCAGGTCCATTCCCAAGTAGCTATAAGCCCTATCTGGACCAAACTTGCATGGATGATGCATCTTGGAATGGACATTACCACACTTGATTCAGATGCTGGATCTGATTTAGATTTTTCAAATATGAGACCAGATTTAGATTTTGGAGCAGTCTCATTCCCAAGTGACTATAAGCCCTACCTGGACCAAACTTTCATGGATGATGCATCTAGGGATGTACACTAACAAACCTGCTTCGGATGCTGGATCAGACCTAGATTTTCCACATGAGTGAATTTTAGCAATATTTTAACTAAATTAGCATGGATGATGTATCTAGGGATGAACACTTCCAGACTTTCTTTGGATTCTGAATCTGACTTACATTTTCTAGATGAGTGACCAGGGTAATTTTTTTTTGGATTAGCTATATGAAATTATGGCCTGTTATGATTAAACTTGCATAGATGGTGCATTTAAGGATGAAACTTCCAGACTTGCTTTGGATGTTGGAACTGACCAAAATTTTCTTGATTAGTAAACAGGTTAAAGTTTTTTGAGCAGGTCTTTTTCCAAATAACTATAAGTCCTACTTAAACCAAACTTGCATGGATATTGATCTTGGGATGTACCCTAACTAGAAAAAAAATATGATGTGAAATTTGCCTTACTTATAGATAACATTCATTGAGGTGAGCTTCGTAATCTTTGATAACCTATGTTTATTGTAGAGCGGATATCTTTCAAAGGTAAATGAAACAATGTCCTGAGCATTTTGAGTTGTATACGGAAATGAGTACATATGAGCTACTTTAATAAGCCTGAAATTATATTTTGAAATTTTTTATGCAAGATAGCGACTGCAGAGTCTATTAAAATTACTTGATCACTAAAATTAACTTCCAATAAAACGGCTTATCTCCCATTGATTATGATGTCGGTAAGACCCAGTCGCTGTTCAAAGCTGTGCAGTGTACTTACATATATACAAAAGATCATGTCAAGTTGCAGCGTAATTTAAGAAATAATCATGACTAGAACCTCGTATAATTATACTATGTTCAATCAAGCTTGTATTTGTTTTTTTAAAATCCCATTGCATATATAAAAGATTTTAGAATGTTTTATTAGTGTAATGTTTGTCTCTTCTTCGACAGTCTTCAATCAAGAGAGAGAGAGCAAATGAGAGAAAGAAAAAGAGAACAAAAAGCGAGGGGGGGGGGGGAGGCGAGCAAGAAAGTGATAGAACCAATTTAATTTAATAAACAGCTGTTGTTAATAATGAAATCATTTATTTACATTACTATACATAGTTTCACTTTCACATACCACGGTTAGTCAAATTTACTTTATACTCATGCGCCACGTGCTATAGTACAATGATAGCATCATGTCTTAATTAAAAATTTAATCAGAAAACTAATCAACAATATTCTTGTCTTAGAATTTTCAATTGTTAATTATTTGACAGCATCAATATTCATGAATCTTGTGATAGCAAAATTAGGATGATGTCGTTATAAACTCTGGTATTCTATTTCTATATCATTTTTACATCAATCCTTGTGATTCATATTGCAGAAAACGTGCATTCGGAGACACCAACATTTTTTCATTAATTCACGTTGTGTACTCTAATACACCCTGTTGATTTTAAAAAGGGAGGGGGAGGGGGGGTCGTGAGCTGGGAAGAATATGTCACAGCTCTATTTTAGAGAATTTTATAGAAGTTTCAGGCCAATATTCATAAATTACGCTTTTCTTTGTGGTTTGGTTTGGTTTTGTATGTTGTTTAATGTCCCTCTCGAGAATTTTTCACTCATATGGAGACGCCTTCTTTGTGGTAAATTATACAATTTAACTTGGAATGAAAAACCATGTTTTCGTTATACACATTAATAACATCATGTATCTATAAGCTCAGTATTCCAGCTGCAACTTATCTCTTAAACTTATTTGTGTATCCTAATGGCACAGACAATTGTATTCATACCCGAGTAACAAAGCACTTCCCGGGTATGGATGTACTTTGGGTTCTACAAAATGAATGTAGGACCAGCTGTTTTTTGCCTTAGTTAAATCTAACAATTTTGCAGAATTTGTTTTCTCAAGAAGTAAATTCATGATTAAGAAAATGACTTGATGTAATTGATACTTTTTAAAGGACTGACATTCAGTGAAATTGTGTTATGTGTATTTTTAGATTATATAAATTTCTTTACTCTTCAAACTTAGTTTTATAACTCTACAGTGTATGAGGAAAAATTAAAGGAAAAGATACACACTCAGTAAAACAGATGATATCCATTTATTTGTTTTCAGCAAAATAAACACCCAGAAAATAGTCATTTACCCATTCTTACCATTTAATTAACTACATTGATAGACTTTGTTATTGTCCGATAATAATCGTTGATTAGTTAGTTACAGTAACCTGATCATCCATTATGAAATTCTTACCAATTCCCATCACTAGCTCTTATGTATGTTATCAATAAGAAATTATTCCATCAAAGAAATGAAAAACTAGAAATATGTCCATAGGACATGAATGCCCTGCCGAGGGTATATTAGAAATGCAATATTTTAATACAAATTGAGAAAAGTGAGGTCAAGGTAAAGGAAAGGTCAAGGTGAAAAAATATTGATGCAGTTGAATAGCTTACATCAGTATGTATCAGCATATGAAGTTTGACACTAATTTAAGAAAAGTGAGGTCAAGGTCAAAGGAAAGGTCAAGGTCAAAAATTGTTGATGCAGTTGAAAAGGTTACATCAGTATGTATCAGCATATGAAGTTTGATAAAAATATTATGAATGGTTTCTTTAAAACTGAGCTAAACACTGATTTGAAAAAAGTGAGGTCAAGGTCAAAGGAAAGGTCAAGGTGAAAAAATATTTGATGCATTTGAATAGCTCTCATCAGTATGTATCAGCATATGAAGTTTGAGGTCAAAGGAAAGGTCAAGGTCAAAACATGTTGATGCAGTTGAATAGTTCTCATCAGTATGTATCAGCATTTGATGTTTGATAACACTATCTTGAATGGTATCTTTAAAACTGAGCTAAACACTAATTTAAGAAAAGTGAGGTCAAGGTCAAAAAATGTTGATGCAGTTGTATAGCTTATATCAGTATGTATCAACATATGGAGTTTGATTACACTATCTTGAATGGTATCTTTAAAACTGAGCTAAACACTAATTTAAGAAAAGTGAGGTCAAGGTCAAAGGAAAGGTCAAGGTCAAAACATGTTGATGCAGTTGAATAGTTCTCATCAGTATGTATCAGCATTTGAAGTTTGATAACACTACCTTGAATGGTATCTTAAAAACTGAGCTAAACACTAATTTAAGAAAAGTGAGGTCAAGGTCAAAGGAAAGGTCAAGGTCGACCCTAATTTGGGCTAAGATGAAATAAAAATAAAAGTCTCTAATTCAAGTTTTATTTTTATTTCTCCCGCCGATAGTTTATTTATAGTCACTGAAAAAATAAAAGAAATATAAATAAACTTTTCACAAGCCTTTCAAAATGCTATTTGTCATTGGCAGAGGTAAATATATTTATCCAATCACAGTATTCGAAGTGTCACTGCACAGCATAGCACCAAAATGTCAGAATCGGAGGGTTTCATATATTTTTAAAGTCATTTAAAAAAGTGACATGTCAATGTCATATATTAGAAAAAGTATAATTTTCAGATTAACTTTTAATGAAAGATTGAATGAAATAGACGAAACAGTAATCTTGATCAAATGTCATGCAGAGGGCCATGTGGAAATTAAGGTTCTGTCATGTCAACCGCTTGTTTTGAAAGGTTTTGAGTACGTATTATCTTTGACAGTTGCTTCAATACATTGAAATACATCTTGAAGATTTTTTTAAACTTAATTTTAAGACAATAGTGTTTTCTCTTACAATTAAGGACAGAACAGAACACTGTAGAACTGATAGAAAGTGGCGTGACTGAGGAAATTCGAGTCACAACTTTCACCCGTTTTAATGACAA